GAGGTTGCAGTGAGCGGAGATTGTGCCACTGCACTCCAGCCTGGGTGACAAAGCACGACTCCGTCTTAAAAAATAAAAAATAAATCACTCCCAATCTTAGTAGGCAGTGTGTAATAGTGTCCCAGATGAACAAATACCACTCCCTTTTTGGACATATTTCTCTCTCTTTGGCACACCTTAGTCTCTTAGTTTTCACCTATTTTACATATGCTTATCTTTCTGTGATTGGCCACAGGGGGAGTCTTTATTTACATAGGGTGAATCATCACTTCAGCCCCTGATTGGTTCCAGGCCAAGGTCCTGGCCCAAGCTTTCACTTCAGCCCCTGATTGGTTCCAGGCCAAGTTGTTGAGCCAAGCCTTCACTTCTGCCTCCAATTGGTTCTTTACACTATCATACCTCTTTCTGAGTGGTGCTTTCTCCAAGATAGCCTGCAGGCCCGGTCAGCACTCTCCTCCCCTTCCCACTCCATAAGCCGCCCTCCTCACCCTCCCACTCAGCCTCATAGCTGGCAACCCTCTTTTGGGCTCCCTCTTTGCTGAGAGCTTTTCTGTTGCTTAATAAATCTGACTCTGGCTGGTCAGGAGTTCGAGACCAGCCTGGCCAACATGGTGAAACCCCATCTGTACTAAAAATGCAAAAAATTAGCCAGGCTCGGTGGCTCACACCTGTAATCCCAGCACTTTGGGAAGCCAAGACGGGCAGATCATGAGGTCAAGAGATCGAGACCATCCTGGCCAACATGGTGAAACCCCATTTCTACTAAAAATACAAAAATTAGCCCAGCGTGGTGGCAGGCGCCTGTAATCCCAGCTACCCAGGAGGCTGAGGCAGGAGAATGGCTTGTACCCAGGAGGTGGAAGTTGCAGTGAGCCAAGACTGTGCCACTGCACTCCAGCTTGGCAACAGAGTGAGACTCCATCTCAAAAAAAAAAAAAAAAAAAATTAGCCGGACGTGGTAGCAGGCACCTGTAGTTCTAGCTACTCGGGAGGCTGAGGCAGGAGAATCACTTGAACCCGGGGGACGGAGATTGCAGTGAGCCGAGATCGCGCCACTGCACTCCAGTTTGGGCGATAGAGTGAGACTCCGTCTCAAAGAAATAAAAAAGAAAGAAAGAAAAAAGAAAACCTTCTTGCCAATATATCCTTATTCCCCCAACTCCACAATCTCCTGACTTCCCCCAGTACTCATAGAAGCTGGTAATAGGGAAAGGCAGGCTGTAAAGGGCAATGGTGATGAGCTCAGGCAGCACTGCTGTCTTCTTTACAAAAGCACATTAATGATGAGCCTGGAGAACGTATTAGATGTCAGGATGGCAAATACAGTTTTGGTTGTAACATGTCCGCTGTGCAAAACAAAATATATCCATTTAAGAGGCTTTCAACCTGTAGTCCATGATCTCTCTGAAATTAGATGCAAAACTTGGTCTGTGTGTGCATTTTTCATGGTAGAGGGTCCATTGCTTTCGTCTGATTCATAACCTTAAAACGTCTTAAGGAAAAGGGTTAAGAACCCATAACCTGTTCAGTACAATGTTCCCTGAGGGTAAAAAGTTCCTCTGGCATCCAGCACTCCCGTGGGAGTCCATCAAAATTCCAGGGTTCACCGACTGCAGAACTATGGGGATGCAAATGCATTTGCAACTCCTTGGAAGGAAAGTACACACGGGAAATCAAGAAACACTAACAGGGAAAAAGCATTTTAGTTTAATGTGGTACAACTGCTGAGGTTTTGAGGCCTCCATCAAGAAGGAAAGAGCCCAGACTGCAGGTCTGTTGCGAGTGAGTGTTTCTGCTGGTTGTGTTAGGCATGTGGTGATTGTGATGGATGAGGGGTTATAGGAGTTTACAGCGAACTTCCATCACTCCTATCCATCATTTTCTAGTTATTTTATCATCCATTGATTCTTCTCTTCCGGTAGCTCTGAGGACAGTAGACTAAACTGAAACACAAAAGGGGAGGGCAAAAGAAAAGACAGTTCCAAAGGGAGACGAGCACTCGTTCTTTTATCCCGCGGTCCCTTTAAGAGAAGAATCTCTTGGGACCTGCAGTCCCAACCGACCCCAGTTTTAACCGAAACCCAACCCGGACTTCCCCCTCTTGACTCAAATAAGACCAATTTTGGATTTTCCCTCCCCTATTGACCAATCAGATTCTGTTACCAGGCAGACTTCAGCGGCCGCCGGTACGAGCCCGGCGCCTTCTGTCTCCGGGGTGGCAGCAGTGACCAATGACAGAGCAGGCCGCCCGTGTATCTAGGCAGATCGCGGCTGTTACAACCATTCAGAAAAAAGAAAATAAAGCAACGCACGAGCCGGCTGGGCCAGGACCTTGGGGCTGGGCCGGAGTGGAGGTGGCTACGAGGTAGTTTCTCTTTCTCCCTTACCTTTATTGTTGCTTGTGTTGGAAGGCGACTGTTCAGAGGTAGGGAGGGGGCAAGATGAGTTGGGAGGAGAGCAGAAAAAGACTGTAGCTGTATTTTCAACAGCTTCTTCACCCATGTGCACGTGCCCGGAATCTGGGACCCCATTCCCCTGCCGGGTTTCTGACGCCCAGCCCATGAGTTCCGCTACCCCGCCCCACCCCCCCTCCACTTTGCAGAAACCGGGGATTGAATGGAGGGGGAAGGGAAGGAGGTGGGGGCGCGCCTCAGGATGGGCTGTTGTGGGAGATGACGTAGGGACCGGCGACGTGGGGAGGGGGAGCAGCGGGGGAAGTCGTGGAGAGATTAAGTAATGAGAACTTGGGCCCAGTTTTTTTTCCAAGCCTAGAAAGGCAGAATATGTTCGTATCCTTTCTGACCTCCCAAGCATATGCAATGGTGAGGAGTATTTTTGAGAATTAGAGAACTTTGTTTTGTGGCTGTTATTGTTGTTTTTGAGGGGGAGGAGGGCAGTATGGGGTCAGAGGCAGAAATGAAAATTTCTTGCTAACATGGATTCCCAATCCCCCTATCTCTTCCTTTACAGTTTTCCAGATTTAGGAGACTTCAAAAAGGTGGGGCAGATAGAATGGAGATGGCAAAGATCTCTTTGGGTATATATGGGCCTGGCGAAGTAATGGAATAATTTCTAACTTTCGGAGAAGGCAAGTGGTGAGAAAAAGACCACTGGGGAAATTCGGAGGCTTTGTTTCTGTTTCTCTGCCTTTCTGGGTAAAGAGATGAGGAGTGCCCTGGGGCCTTCAAGGGAAGGGAAGGCCAGTGTGAGTTACATCTTTATGCCTGTCCCTCTCAATTCTAGCCCTCATGCCGGGATGGCAGAAGATGAGCCTGATGCTAAGAGCCCCAAGACTGGGGGAAGGCCCCCTCCAGGTGGTGCTGAGGCTGGGGAACCTACCACCCTTCTTCAAAGGCTCCGAGGTACCATTTCGTAAGTACTGATCACATCTCCAAATCCTGTCCAAGACCTGAGTATAGATCCCTGCAGCACTTCACTTTGGCTGTAGATGAACTGCCTCTCAGCAAGGGCA